ATTGTATTAAAAGCAGACATAATGACCAATGAAACCGAATAGAGAGCCAAGAAATAAACTCATACATGTATGATCATTTGATTTTGACAAAGATGCCAAAAATACACAGCAGAATAATCTCTTCACTAAATGATGTTGAGGAAACTAGATGTCCACATGCAGAAGAATAAAAGAGGACCCTCACCTCATGTCATATACAAAAATTAACTCAAAATCGATCAAAGACTTAAACCTAAGACCTAATTCTCTACAACTACTAGAAGAAAACATGAGCGGGAAACTACATGGCATTGCTCTAGGCAGTGATATATTGGATTTGACCCCCAAAGCATAGGCAACAAAAACAAAAATAGACAAAAGTAAAATAGATCAAAGGAAAAAGCTTCTGCACAGCAAAGGAAACAATTAAGTGTGAAGAGATTGTATTAGTCTGCTCTCATGCTGCTGATAAAGACATACCTGAAACTAGGTAATTGATAAAGAAAAAGAGGTTTAATAGACTCACAGCTCCACATGGCTGGGGAGGCCCCACAATCATGGCAGAAAGCAAAAGGCACATCTTACATGGCAGCAGGAAAGAGAGAGAATGAGAGCCAAGCGAAAGGGGTTTCCCCTTATAAACTAATCAGATTTTGTGAGACTTATTCACTACCTCAAGAACAGTATAGAGGAAACCACTCCCATGATTCACTTATCTCCCATTGGGTCCCTGCTACAACATGTGGAAACTATGGGAGCTACAATTCAAGATGATATTTGGATGAGGACATAGTCAAACCATATCAGAGATAATCTATGAATAAGAAGAAAATAGTTTCAGTCTTATATTCAATATGGGATTAATACTGAAAATATGTAAGGAATGCAAAAAATACAATAGCAAGAAAACAAATAACCTGATTTTAAAGTGGACAAAGGATACAAATAAACATTTATCAAAAAAAGACATACAAATGGCTGACAAATATATGGAAAAAAATGTCCAGCATCACTATTAGAAAAATACAAATTAAAACCACAGTGACATAACACCTCACATCCATCAGAATGACTATTATTCAAAACATGAATTAAATGTGTTAACAAGAATGTGGAAAAAGGAGAATGCTTGTATACTGCTGGTTGGAATATAAGCTATTAGAGTCATCATTGAAAACTTAATAGAGTTTCCTTTAAAAACTAGTAATAGATTATAACATAATTCAGCAATCTCACTTTTGGGCATTTACCCAAAAGATCTGCAATCAGTTTATCAAAGGGATGTCTTTTTGCCCATGTTTAACATTTTGTACATGTGTGTACTTGACATATCAAGCAATAAACTAGAGGACTAAGAGCTAACACACGCAAAGAGTAAATAAAATACATAAGAAACAAAATAGAAATTTTGCACAGTAGAATATCTACATATTTTAATTAACTTGCAGTCAGAACTATTTAATTCTGAGTCACAATAAAATTTTTAGATGTGTCCATTTCTTGGTTTTGTTTTCTTTTTAATTGCAAAAGATATTCTGGCAATTGAACTTCCAAAGTTATTTGATTGAAGAGTAACTTTTTTCATCTATTTTTGTAAACCAAAAAACACTTTCACCTTTGGCAAAAAGTCAAAAAGCCATTTGTATGCGCCTTTAAATGAAGGCTTTCATTTGAAATCAGACATGTTAACTGAAAAATGGTTACATTTAAAGTGTTTTCTACAATTAATCTATATTTCTGCAAAATTCCTAGGACTTACTCAGAATACTGCACCTACTATAATGGCTTGAATACACATACAATAGATAACACTTTATAAACATTTGTTCAATTTAACTATGTAGAAAAGACATTACACCTCCTGACTTTGGCCCCTGGTAGTATGATTACTAGACATTCCAAAAGACCTTTGTACTACAAAACTGTAAGATTTTGGATAAAACATACTTCTAATGCAATGCTAGATTCAAGGATAACATGAGGAATCTGCAAATCTCTTGCCCCAGAAAATTAAAAAAAAAAAAAGTGACTCAAACTGGACTAGAGAGTATGAGCTCAAATAGCAAACAAATACTAATGGCAAGATCCCTTAAGGGCACATACCAACATCACTGTTGCCATGAGAAGATCTCTATCCTCAGACCTGCTGTACACTGATAGAGGGGAACTGAGATCGCTATCAATTTCCCATTCAAATTCGTAATCCTCATTAAGTCTGGGGCCCTCAAATAGAACTAAAGTACCTCCAGATCAGCAGAATCTTATGACTGTCAGATTAAATAAATACAAATCCTTTCCAGAAGACACCAAAATCACAAGCAAAAAAATAAAGAAAATTGATTAATTTGTCATCAATATTTAAAACGTTTTTATCTCAAAGTGCACAATCAAGAAAGGGAAAAGGCAACACATAGAATGGAAGACAATTTTTTTCAAATAATGTATATGATAAGGGACTTTTGTTTAGAATATATGAAGAACACTTTCAACTCAGTAATTTAAAAAAAATTAAAAATGGGTAAAGAATATGAATAGAATTTTCTCCACAGAATATATACACATATAGCCAAAAAAACCATATTATATTAATTTGCTAGGGTTACTAGAATAAACTACCACAGACCAGGAGGTTTAAACATCAGAAATTTTCTCCCAGTTCTCAGGGTTAGAAGTCTAAAATGATGGCCATTGGTTTTTTCTGAGGGTCTCACCCTTGGCTTGTAGGATGGCCATTTTCTCACTGTGTCTTCTCATGGCCTTCCTTCTGTGAGGGTCTACGTCCTAATCAACTCTTTGTATAAAGACACCAGTCATATTGGATGGCCTAATTTAACCTTAACCACCTCTTTAAAGACCTTATCTCAGCTGAGTGTTGTGGTTCGTGCCTGTAATCCCAGCACTTTGGGAGTCTGAGGCAGGCGAATCATGAGGTCAAGAGAGCAAAACCATCCTAGTCAACATGGTGAAACCCTGTCTCTGCTAAAAATACAAAAATTAGCTGGGCGTGGTGGTGCACACCTGTAGTCCCACAGTGAGTGGAGATCACGCTACTGCATTCCAGTCTGGCGACAGAGCCAGAGTCCTTCTTTTTTAAAAAAAAAGATCTTATCTCCAAATACAGTCACATTTTAATGTACTAGGGGTGAGGATGTCAATCTATGAATTATAATGGGATGCAATTCAGCCCATAGTGCACATGAAAAGATGATCAACTTTATTAGGTATTGGGGAAATGAAAATCAAAATCAAATTAGATACCACTTCGCACTTATGAAGGTTATTATGATAAAACATATGAGAACAAGTATTGATTAAAATGTAAAGACATTCAAAACTTCATACATGAGAAATATGAAATAGTGAAGCTACTTTGAAAAAAAAAAGTCTGGGAGTATCTTAAACGGTTAAACATAGAGTTACCATGTGACCTAACAATTGCACTTAGGCATATACTCAACGGAATAAGAATATATGTCTATGCAAAGACTTGTACCCAAATGTTTGTAGCAGTATTATTAATAATGGTCAAAAAGTGAAAATAACACAATGAAAAGAAATGAAGTGCTGATACAAAGTACAAGATGAACAAAATTTGAAAATATGCTCAGTGAAGACGTCAGTCACAGAAGACTATATATTGTATGATTCTATTTGGATGAAATATCAAGAATAGGCAAATGCATAGACACAAGAAAGTAGGCTAGGGGTTCCTTAGAATCGTTGAGGGAAAAGGTTGAAAAAAAAGTGAGTAGTGACTGCTAACAGCTGCAGGCTTTTGTGGGAAGGGATGATGAAAATGTTGTAAATTGTATTGTGTTTGTTGATGCACAACTCTATGTATATACAAAAGCCACTGAATTGTATGTTTTAAGTTGATAAATTGTATCATATATGAATTATATCTCAATAAAGCTCTTACAATTTTTAAAAAATCATCTCTGAAAGAAAGGAACCCAAATTTTGGCCGTTAGAATTCCCACAGACTAAGATCAGCAAAATATAAACTCATAATCAAAGATTGCCAAACATGAAAGTTAAATTAGCTACCATGACTGAGTCCGGCAGAAAAAAAAAAATGAAAAGAAGACTCAGATACAGTATTTTCTAATATTTAAGAAATAATATTAAATACAGAATATTAAATATCTATGTAAAGCGTATTAAAAGACTAATCACAAGAAACTATCAAGTAAGCAACAGATTTGAAAACACTGACTTTTAAAATGGTAACACAGTTATTGAAATTAAAACTTAATGTGAGTCACACAGAAGATTAGATTAGATATGGCCAAAGAGATCATTATAAAGTGAAAAACAAGTCTGAAAAAAAATGCCCTCACTGCAACCTAGAAAGATGAGGAATTATGGAAGCAAGATTAAAAGAGAATTAGGAAGAGATAATATTTGATGAGATGGTGGCCAAGAAATTTTCGGAATTTATGAAAGTCATTGATCTGCCTGTGAGAATGCTCTACGTGCCAAGCAGGATAAGAAGGAAAAAACATCCACTTAGACACTGAACCAAAACTATAGAACTCCAAAAATAGACATAACACATTAAAACGAAATAGAAAAAGATTATTTACCAAGGAAGGCAATTAGACAGAAAACAGTATTCTCAACAAAAACAACAGAAAAACACAATTGCTGTCTCCTTTTCCTTGAAAAGGGAATTGTAATTTACTTTTGAGTATCAGTAAATTTTGTTCTTCAATAAGAGAGGAAATATCAGAGTACACTGCTTAGCTCAGCAGTGAATAATATTTACACAGTTTAAAAAAATTCTGAAACTGTCTTATTCCGTTACCCAGCCTCACTGCAGCCTCAGTCTCCTGGGCTCAAGCAATCTTCACACCTTAGCCTCCTGAGCAGCTAGGACTACAGGGGCACATCACTATGCCAGTTAAAATTTTTTGCTTTTAGTAAAGGCACAGTCTTGCTTTCTTGTCCAGGCTGGTCTCGAACTCCTTCTGTTAAATCAGATGATATGTCCTTAAATAAAATGCCAACTTGAAGAAACAGTCTTTGAAATCAATGATTTAATGTATACTTTTATGTATGTTCATTCACGTAAAAACTAAATTATACTAACTTTAATTTAAATGTAACTTAAATATTCCAATAAGGAGGAAGCGTACATTGACTTTACTCCAGATCTGGTTTCCTAGCCAAATTGGAGGCAAATAAAATAATATCCTTCTGTTTATGTTGTGACATGCATAATGTCTACTTATAATACCTCTCAATAGAATTCATAGGAGAAAAAAATTGTCATAAGTTACATCTTTCTTTAAATGACTTGGCTAGAGGCCACATAATTCCCTTTAAACTCAATTATCTCACAACTGAATGCTTTGATAACTTGCTAAAAGCAGCAGACACAGTGCTATTAGTGAGCCAGGAGAAGGAGAAACCCCAGAGCAGCCATCAGCCATCTTCATTTCTCTGCAATCAGCTCCTTCATATCCCTGATAACAATGACAGAAAAACTTATCCGCCATCACTGCCAGGTCTGTATCAGATGCTTTTCCTTTCACAGTAAATTCCCCATCCTCAGAGGCCTCTATGTGGTAACTTGCAGGGTTCAAGTGAAGGTAACTGGGTGCGTTCCACATCTTCCTTATGCACCTCCCATTGTTCCTGCAGAGGTGAAGGCTGCATACCTCAGCAGCTCCGGTCACATTGACTATGTAGCTCCCTAAATCAGAACTCACAAACTGCTTCACCTTTGTACAATTGGCCTAGAAATGCAGAACGAAATCCATTTTAGTGTTTCTTCCTGGTACTGGTAGAATTAGAGCTTCTAGGCCCACAAGGTAGTTCTTTGGTCTTGATTAAAACATAATGTCTTGGTTCCAGTTGTTGAACTTGTAGGCTCCTGGCACTGTAACAAGGTCCCCAAAACAGAAAAGGGAGAGGTCTGAGGGGCGGGAGACACAGAGTACCTTAGAGTCAGGTTAAGTAACTGAACTTGCAAATGGCTCCCAGAATCAGCGCATGAGACCTCGCCTTTCTCCCATTTACATTCTTTATCCTTCCTTCTTACTCCCAAGTTAATAGGTATAAAAGAAAAAGGAACAAACCCAAATTGGGCATCTTGGCGCACTGCTGCCCTCAGGCTACCATTCAGGTATGTGGGGCCTTCCGTGGTTGTGTGAGAACCTGAATCATAGGCCATCATTTACTGTCAAATCATCATATTCCACCATTCTACCACGTAGTAGAGCCTTCTGGATTTTCCTGTTAATTTCCATTAACTGCCCTGGGTCCTATACTTCTAATACAATTCAAATACAGGAAAGCCTGCATGGCTGACTATGCAACTTTTGTATATGTGGTTCTTACTATGTTTTCTAAACAGAGGCCACCTGGGTTGTGCACCCACCTTCCTTTTCTATGTATCAGGCACTGATTCGGAATATTTATTCTAGAGCTGATGAAGCTCTTCTCAAGAGCTGCCTAGGGCCTGGGGTGAAAATATCACACCTGGAAAGTCAGGAATTAATTCTCTCAGTTTCTAACTATTTCTAATACATGGGCATAGGCATAAACAGTTTCATGAACACTACCTCGGTAGCAACAAATTGAGCCTGTGAAATTCTAAGGATAAAATCACATCGTCATGGACTTGCAAAAAAATTCAATTTAACAAGAAGTGTCAAGGGTATTCAAGGTAAAATGTGTTACACTATAGAAACATAAACAGCATCTGGAAATACGGAAGAGATTATGATTAATGGGGACTGGGGAAAACTAGGAATCTTTCCTGGAGTAAAAAGTAAGAGCCATATACATCTTTTTTTTTTTTTTGACAGAGTCTCACTCTGTCAAACAGGCTGAAGTGCAATGGCACCATCTCAGCTCACTGCAACCTCTGCCTCCCAGCTTCAAGCCATTCTGCCTCAGCCTCCTGAGTAGCTGGGATTATAGGCATGCGCCATCACACCCGGCTAATTTTTATATTTTTGGTAGAGATTGGCTTTCACCAAGTAAGGCTGGTCTCGAACTCCAGGCCTCAAGTGGTCCCACCTCCCAAAGTGCGGGGATTACAGGTGTGAGCCACTGTGCCCAGGTGTAAATATTATTATAAATGCTGTTAATTTTCAGCTGATTTCTCTATAGACAAAAAATAACTTCAATGTGGAGAATTAAGTTACCACCTGTTTCTACCTCTCAGAATAGTATATAACATATTTTCTATAGTTGTTAAATGCAAGGGATCCATCATCAAACTGTGGCTAATGCCAGCTCCTCCACTAACTATCTTAAATAGCTGTTAACCTAATTAGGTTTCCCCTCTAGTTTCACCATCTGTAAATGAGGAAGACAGTCACTACCTCGTATGACCAGTAAGTGAGAAAATCCAACTCAAAAAATCTCTTAGTACAACCTTAGCACATCATAAATATTCATCAAATGTCAGGGTTATGATTACTATCTTTATAAAAGTTAACAATATTGTTTAGCCTTTTCTATGTATCAGGCACTGATTTGGAATATTTATTCTAAACCTGGTTTGCTATGGGGGTCATGAGAGCTTTATTAGATAGAGTAAGCTCTCCAAGAAAACAGAGAAATAAACCACCTGACCATGTGTGTATTTATGCAACAATCCTGCATGATGTGCACATGTTCCCCAGAACCTAAAGTATAACAACAACAACAACAAATTTAATATAACTTCAAGATACTGACTTACCTTGGATGAAGTTAAATTCATGTCTCCCCAGATAACGATGCCTGCAGCTCCCAAGGCAGCACTTTCTCCTATGGTGCTGACTAGATCTTGCTAGATTGAAGAGAGTAGAGTTCATTATTAATTTGAATGTAAAACAGCCCACCAGGGATTAGGATTAGAGTCTGAGTTCAGTATAATAGGGCTGGTACTGAGCTCATATACTCTATAGAGACTATTTTCTGCTTTCTTAGAATGACTCAAATGCTGAATAAACCAATGCTCAAAGATCACACTCTGTAATCATAAGCAAAAACATAAAAATATTTTTCAAGACAAACATTTTGCCATGCAGGATATTATTTTGAAGACAATGAGCCTGTACATGGTTGTCAGAAATTATTTAATTAAAATAGATTGGCACACATACCCACACACCAGGTCATGTGTATGTGCCCTGAAAACAGAATCCAAAAGTTTTCCTTTTCCAAATGGAGTCCTCTTAACCAGATTCCTTTTCCACTTTGCAACACGCCCGAGTGACACTTCACCCCCACAGTGACTTGGATGGGTTTATATCATTTCAATTCCAAGGCCAGGCAAAGAAGCAACGTTAAGGGCTTGCAGGCTCTAATTTGGTCCAGCTTTTATACTTGTCCCTGAAATAAATTATCTGTGTTTAATTTCTAAGTACCTGACAGAATGGGCTTTATTTATGACTCATCCAATCATGATAAAGTCACTGGAATTTTCTGCAATATGGTTAAGACAGACAAAGTTAAGGTTTTAGCAGAGGGAATTTTGATTTTATAATATTAAAGGGTTTTTTTTTTTTTAGTGTTTAAAGATTAACTTGGATCTAGGCCATTTTATAACTAAGATTTGAGTGTATGTAGTTGATTTCCCACTTTATTAAATTATAATACATTCCCCCACTCTTTAGGACACTAAGCATTCACCTTTTACTCCAACGATGAATTTCTCGATTAAATGCTAGAAAATGTAATTAGGTGATTTGGTGGAAAATAAAAACAGAACTGTAAATGCTATTTTGCCATTGGACACTTAATATTAATACTTAAGAGATAAATCTCTTTATCTGACACTTTGATTGTCTCACACTCAAAGGTTTTAAAGTTTTTTTTTGTTTGTTTCTGGGCAGTTGTCTTGTGACTTTCAAAAAGGAAAGATATTTTGGTTTAAACTAATTTCCCTTTCGGATTAACATCAATTTTCATTCCTTATGATTATAATATCTGCTGAACAAGTCATAGCTGACATGACAGGAAGGAGAGGAGGTTTTGAGAGGCTCAAGTGAGATAGTATCAATGAAAGGATTTTGAAAATTGTCAATGGTACGATGAACAGGGCCCAGAGGAGGAGCCGCCCCGCAGTACTCAGACTGCAGACTCTGCTGAGTCCATGTTTGCCTCCTCTTTAGATAAAGACATAAGGGAGCAGAACTCCTCACTCCCTTCACTTTGAAACTTCTCTGGAAACAGTGTCATGGTAGTCACATGGTGTGATCAGGGCAGAAATCCCCAAGCTCTCCATTGTCATCAAAGGAGGATAAGGTCATAACATTTACATTTTATATCTATAGGTTGTTGATCTATAGTAAGTATGTAAGTGGCAGATATTTGTAGTAAAAGCCACAAACACCTTCTGAAGTTGCTGTCAGTTTCTTCCAAATTAGTTTTCAAATTAGTTTCTCACCAAATGAGTTCACTGTCACCTCACAGAGAACAGAGTACTGAATGAACCACAAAGCAGCTATGTTTTGGGGATCAGAAAAGCAAGGGCACTACCCAGCAAGGGAAGTCACAGATAAAGTGCCTCTGGGAGCAGATTGGAACCAGCTGAAAGCTTGGGCATGGGGGTGATGTCACATTAAGGAGAAAGAAAGGAACAAAGTAGATGTACTGAAAATGAGCCTCCCAGGTCCCAGTGTGGCACAGGGTGCTTTCATCTACCTATGATCCTTGGACCTGAATCAGGGTTTCATTAGCAGAGGATAGGGCTACTCAAGGGATTCACTCCACACTTGAGTGTCAGTCCCTGACATTTACCAGAGTGCATGTAAGCAAGGTGCCCACTGTGGGGAGCTGGAGCATTACTAATGAGCTGCCTTTGTGCCTTACCAGAGACATCATGAATTAATGACAGGGATAAACATCTTTAAATCTATAGGCAAGAAAACTCCTTTTGTTAATTTTTAAAAGCACAGCTCACAGATGGAACAGGAGGCCCTTGTCTTAAGTGAAATCACTCAGAAACAGAAAGTCAAATATCACATGTGTTTACTGAGAAATAGGAGCTAAACAATGGGGAACTACAGACATACAGAGTGCAATAATAGACACTGGAGACTCCAAAAGGTGCAAGGGTGGGAGCAGGTGAGGGATAAGTAATGCTCTGTTGGGTAAAATGTACACTTTTCAGGTGATTGGGTACACTAGATGCCCAGACTTCACCACTACTCAATATTTCCATGTAACAAAACTGCGCTTGTACCCACTAAATGTATAAAAATGAAAAAACAATAATAAATAATAAATGTTTTAAAAACAGATCATCAAGTTATATCTAGGTTGCATTCATATGTAAATAATATAGGCAATCTTCTGTGTGAAATGAGGTTTGACTGCCTTTATATTCCCCAAGCTGTAGCTACTGCCTGAGATTCCATTCTTAAAAATCCCATGTTTAAGTTTAAGGCATTGATGGCTGTTAAAAGAAGTAATAGCCATACTCCATAGGTTTCTGTAGAGCTTCACATTTTCATATGCATTTTCCCTTGTGATTTTCATAATAGTTCTGTTAGGTGAGTAGGGCAGATAATATTGTCCCATTTTGTACATTAAGACACTAAGACACTAAGTCCAGGGCGGTTAAGAGATTTGCTACTTACCAGTGAATCTTTTTTGTAATCTTAACTGTATGTGTGTGTGCATTCTAAAATTCAGACATTATTGGGAAAATCAGAAATGGAAGCCATTAACAGTCACTTAGAGTTTGGTACAAATGAATATCAGGTTTTTAATAATTATGGGCAGGGCAGGGCACAGTGGCTCACGCCTATAATTCCAGCACTTTGAGAGGCAGAGGTGGGTAGATCACTTGAGGCCAGGAGTTTGAGACCAACCTGGCCAACAAGGTGAAACCCCATCTCTACTAAAAATACAAAACTTAGCCCGGTATGGCAGCACATGCATGTCATCCCAGCTACTCGGAAAGCTGAGGCAGGAAAACTGCTTGAACCCAGGAGATGGAGGTTGCAGTGAGCTGAGATCATGCCACTGCACTCCAGCCTGGGTGACAGAGGGAAAATTCCATCTAATAAATAAATAAATATTTTAAAAAATAGGCCAATTTTTAAAGTCAATAGGGTACAATGATGGATACCCTTATAGTTTAAAATACTTGGAAATAGCTTGTCACTCAGAAAAAGAGTGCAGAATGAGATGAAACCCAAATTGTTGCTCCTTTTTCCAGAAAGGAAAGAGCATTTCTGAGGCTATCGCTACCAGAAAAAGAAGCTTAGCCCAGCTTCACAGAATGTGCAGAATGTCCCGGTAGTCTAAATTCATCTTTTGAATTGAACATTTTCTCCCTCATACTTTATTGTTTCTTCCAAAAGTCAATTTATTATCACTAAAGAATTGGTTTAGTCAAATATAGAAAAGACGTTTTATTTCAAAAGCTGGTATTTAAATTTCTACTCAATTCCAGAGTCAAGATTATTTTGTAAATACTTAGGTGACTTTTTAAAACCTTCCAGACAGTAGTGACTTTCTATTATTATTCATTCAATTATTTTTCACTGATTTTTCTGGGTGGTATGAATAGCAGTTCACAGTAAAGACATTTTTTCCTTCCTCCCTCACCTCATGAATGATGTCAGAGGCATGGCATTTACCATATTTTATACATATGCATCATTTCTCCCTCTGAAAAATGTTCCAAAGATACCTGGTCACTTTAGAGCCCTCACCTGGGTGTTTTCTATGCCTCCTCTTTAGGATGCCTAGAACTCAGAACGTCTTTATTTTAACAGATATTGGTGCGTTGAAATTTGTAATGGTGGAGAAAGGAAAAATGCCTTCGTTAAAATATATTAAGCCGCTAGTATACAGCAATACGTTAAAACATCACTGTACCACACATGTGAAGGCCCCCACAAGTCCCAAGTTTTCTCAATGTAGAAAGGTCACACAAAATTATCAATCCAAAGATTAGACGGGGCATGGTGGTTCATACTTGTAATTCCAGCACTTTGGGAGGCCGAGGCGGGTGGATCACCTAAAGTCAGGAGTTCAAGACCAGCCTGTCCAACATCATGAAACCCTATCTCTACTAAAAGTACAAAAATTTAGCTGGCCAAGGTGGTGGCTGCCTATAATCCCAGCTACTTGGGAGGCTGAGGCAGGAGAATCTCTTGAACCCCAGAGGCAGAGGTTGCAGTGAGCTGAGATTGCATCATTGCACTCCAGCCTGGGTGACAAGAACAAAAAACTCTGTCTTGAAAAACAAAAAACAAAGATTAGAATACCCACTACTTTCCCTAGACTTTTTCATGTAGTGGCTAGACTAGCAAAGAGAGAAAATGAGAGGGAAAAATCTGGGTGAAAGCTCACTTATTTTAACAGTTACCTTCACGATTTGTACGAGGTGTTTGGGAGAATATGTGGCTTGAGTAAAAATGAACAGACAAAATAAAACTAACCTGTAAGTGTGAACCTGGGTTTCAAAACTATCTCCTGGTGATTGCAGTGTTGAATTTAGAAACTCACATAACTCTTACCATCACTTTTCATTAGTTGTAGTCATAGAGGCAAGAAGAATACCCCAGATGGCTAAATCTATAGACTCACCTGCTTTTAGAAGATTCGCCACCTCTCATACCCTTTTGAAACTTTAATTTTTTTTTAATTATGGCAAAAAGCACATAACATAAATTGTACCATTTTAATTCAGTAGTGTTAAGTATATTCAGATTGTTGTAACTCTCTTATACCTTTTATCAAAGCTGGTATTATTTATTAAAAAGAAAAAACTGATCTTTTTAATCTCTTAGGTTTTGAGATGGTGAAGCCAAAATCAGCAATATCTTCAATTCTGCTTCCACGTGTATGAGCAAACACTCCATTTCAAAATATCCTTTTTGATTTTCTAACCTGCTCACTAACCATCCAAAATGACCAACTGTAAGTGAGTACAGTTGGAGTTGGTGTGTAGGAAATGTAGTAGTTGCTGATATCTACTTTCACCCTTTCTCACCTTACTTTATTCCTTAAAAGAATAGTAATAAATAAGATAATCAAAATTCAGTTTGCATAAATGAAGAGTCGCATGGCTAGTCAAGGAAGAATTATGCTCCTATACAACAGACCATCAATTGAAATCAATTCTTCGAAGAGCACAATTAACAAAGAACTGTCCTTTTAGAGATAAGGAGGAAATCCCCCACCATTGGACAAGAAGCTTCTTACCTTAGAAAGAAAAAATAAAGGCTCATCTCTGTACCCCAGCCTTGTGTAGACAAATACAGGCAGGTCATAATCATAAGATGTCATGGTGGAGATTCTCATGGATTCGTGCACCCGAAATTGGGAGAAGCGCAAAACGTTTTCACTGTCTCCAAGGGATTTCCTGATACCGATAGAAGGATATAAAGCAGCACTGCTGTTCCAGAGCCAAGAGAGCTCATTGTTCCTCAAGATTTCCTCTTCTGGACATGATCCAGTATAGTTTGGGGTATAAACGTTATAATTGTGGCAATCAGGATATAAATAATAACCCCAAAGGCCTTTGGGTCGGCTCTTAATTCCCAGTTTGATGGTTTCTTTCATAAAAGCTTTTGCACTTTCTTCAAAGGTCACTTTAGCTAAATATTCAATATCAGTAGCTGATACGTTCTTTCCCATGTCGGAAATAAACTTTCTTGACTTTTGTCTGTAGACATCTTTTGCATTCCAGTTCCGGGCCCACTGTGGTCGCCAATATTCCCAATCTATAACAGCAAGTCCACTGAAATCTTCAGCAGGGATGTAATAATTAATATCTTGGTCAACTTTTTCCAGATGTTCTTGTAAACTTATGTTCTGTGGGAGACCCCCATTAATGGGGACCCCTTTTGATGTATACCATGGATAGTATCCCAATCTGTTGACATAAAATATAGTGACATTTTGTCCCCTGGCCTTGGCCAGTGGACTTCCAATCACCTGAAACATTTTCAAATTTAGTCTTAAATTATATTTTATCAAACAATGATCTGTTGGAGCATTCCAAGCAGCTATAAAAGGCTTCCTTTGATAAATTGGAAGTCGAGCAGGTTTTAGACAAGAGATAGACTTTAGAATAAAAAATATAAGGAGCCATGACGTGAGATGTACTGGTTGAACAACACAAAGCCTTAACAGTCCTTCAGATAATGCTTTCATGGTAAGATACAAATCTTACGTTGTCTTCTGCTCTAATGCACTCTAGAAGACCTGTGGAGAGATTTAATTTTCTGTTAGTAATAATTTTGAGGAAAAAGATGCAAAAAATAAATCGATATTAACATATTATCTATTTTTAAAGTGTATCACTTAAAGGCCTTAAAGAGGCTTATAAATAAATTGAGATATAGAAGCAAATGTAGGAATAGAGCCTAGCTTCTATTCAGGGCAGGAAATGCAATTCAACAAACATTCATGGAGCACCAGATCCTACATCCAGAAAACAAAATGAATAAGATGTGGCCCTTGCCTTTGAGGAGTTCATGATCAAATAAAGATGTGAAATAATATTCACTATCATTTTAGAAAACTCATAAAATCCTTGTAATAACTGTGTAAAGCTTATAATTATGTTTCCATTTTACAAATGGGGAAACTGAGGCTTAGAGAGATGAAGAGGCTTGCCTGATATCACATTATATGGACTGCAAGGTGATGTAAAATTTAAATAAGAAAAATGCATAACAAGTACTACATGAAAATTTATTGGAGCAATTGCTTCTTCTGGGAGCAAACAGTAGGTAGGAATGGAAAGGAATGTGCCTGAGTTGCAAGAAATTAAAACCAGCCCAACTGTCCCAAAGAATAGATGTTTTGGGTTTCTTTTGAATAAACTTAGCAATTGACTCTCCCAGTGTAGAACTTAAGAAAGTTACATTTGTCTTATCTGGGTTCCTTTCTCCAGAAACCAACCATGGAGCTTCCCAGAAAGTTTCAAGGAAATGAAACTTACCAGATCATCACAACTAGACAATGAGACACCAGATGCCTCACTTGTCCTGATTGTCTAACTGACCACCTGCCTGTTAACCAACTCCTCTTTCTTATCCCTCTTTCATTCATGTTTTCCCACACATTGGTTACATTTCTTCCCTACTTTATAAAGTCCAAATTTTAATTGCTTGGGGAGATGGATTTGAGACTGATCCTTCATTCTCCTTGGCTGCAGCATCCAAATATGACCTTCTTCCTCTGCAATACTCCTTGTCTCAGTGATTGGCTTTCTATGCAGCAGACAGCAGGACCTAGACCAAACCCTTGGTGTAACAGAATGTCTCAGGGAAGAGACCAGAGTTGAAAAAGAAGATAGGTAGGTGTTTGGATAGCAGGAGATGGAAGAGGATAGTGACTACTTTGTCAAGTTGTTTTTTAGTCATCTTTTTGTAAAACTACTACAAAATTATTTTTGAAAAAGCTCATCAAAGAGTTTGATGGCATAAAACATTTTCAGTCTCGTGGATTATTAAGATGAAAATGGATTGTGGTTATGCCTGAAGCCTAGTGAGATTAAGGTGTCCAGTAGACATTTATTTTTTGGCTGTGTGCTCAGGATACAGACCCCTTTCCTCTGTAGTTAATTCTGCACCACATGTATCTTGGAAGGCAAAGCCCATATTTCATTAAATAAGCCAAAATGTCCCAGCCTTCTTTGAAGGTGTGGTGCTGGTCTATGACTGTGGTCAGCCCAATTCGATTCATCCTAATCTAGACTTTGAATTGGGATACTGATATTCAAAGAGGCTGAGATAACATTGTCAGTGGTGACAGAAATGCCCATGTCAAGGAGCAGCAAGCTGGGGCATCCAGAACCTGATGCCCATAATGTTACTGTTAAGTGGAGATATCCTCATGGGACACTGTCTTTCTGCTCAAGTAAGCAAGGTTTGTTTTGGTTGCTTACAACCAGGAACTCTGATTGATAGAGAAGTGATATGGTTTGTCTGTGTCCCCACCCAAATCTCATCTTGAATTGTAGCTCCCATAATCTCCCTGTCATGAGAAGGACATGGTGGGCGGCAATTAATCATGGGGACGGGTTTTCCCATGCCGTTCTTGTGTTGGTGAGTAAGTCTCATGAGATCTGATGTTTTATAAAGGGTAGTTCCCTGCACATGCTCTCTTGCCTGTGGCCATGTAAGCAAGCATGACTTTGCTCCTCCTTTGCTCGCCATGATTGCGAGAACTCCTCAAGCATGTAGAACTGTGAGTCCATTAACTCTCTTTTTCTTTATAAATTACTCAGTCTCGGGTATGTTTTTATTAGCAGCGTGAGAATGGACCAATTCAAGGAGCCTCTGTGGCTTCTATTTCCTCCAATAAAGCCTGTGCTACATGTTGTATGTAATTATCATGTTTAACCACCAGGTGTCACCAGCCAAACTTCACAGCATTTCTCAGGCCTCAGACATTGCTGTAAACAAAAATTTTAAGTAATTCACAAAACTTCCTCCAAAGACATTTAAGAAGTCTTAAGTAAATGAATAAACACAAAACACCAGTTTTGTTTTTTGTTTTAAGATTTAGCTTCACTCTTGTTGCCCAGGCTGGAGTGCAATGGTGCAATCTCAGCTCACTGCAACCTCCACTTCCTAGGTTCAAGCAATTCTACCTCAGCCTCCCCAGTAGCTGGAATTACAGGCATGTGCCACCACGCCCAGCTAATTTTTTGTATTTTTAGTAGAGACGTGGTTTCACCACGTTGGTCAGGCTGGTCTCAAACTCCTGACCTCAGGTAATCTACCCGTCTTGGCCTCCCAAAGTGCTGGGATTAGAGGCGTGAGCCACCGCACCTGGCCAGAACACCAGTTTTTAAGAGCTATAGAGGTAGATATTTTCATTCATTGAATAAATACTCTTCCATGCACAAAGCTAAGATTACCCCACTTAGTAGCATGAAATATATCATATTGCAGCTCTAAATTGTGGTTTGAAAAAAATAGTATTTTCAAGGGAATCTAATTTTATGAGTAAGAAAAATTGTGGTACTCAAAACTTCCCCTTCTCTTTGATTTTTTATTATATTTTTTGCCTCCAGGTAAGAAAAATAGATTTGCATAGGCATTCATTAATAGATGGGGGAAGAAGCATTTCTTTAAATCTAAAATTCAGTTCTATTGGAAAGGACTATATATGTATATCAAAAAAAGAAAAATCTACTCTGCCAGACACTTCCTGTTTTGGTTTCATTCAAAACATAGTTTTCCACTGACAATATTGTTTCCCCTTTGGTCCGCTCCCTCATCACCACCGTAAATGAACATCCTGGTTCATTTATTACAAAGTTACCAAGTGATTCTCTTCTCCTATCCTAGAATGCTATTATTCTTTTTATTCTGGTGACCTGGAGGTGCACCTTATGTGGCAGATGGCAGATTAGCTCCTGATAAAATGTGTGGGTGCACAGCCTTTTGGTTGTAAAATCCTGTGCCCGTGTCTTCTGCTTGCTGTATGTTGGGTTTCTGCTTCCTATGCCCTCCTACTTAAATGTGGCTTGCTGGGAGAAGATACCCTCACGTGATCCCTCACAGACACTGTTTTTCCTTCCGTGTCCCACCCTGCAATCTCTCTCTGTTTCTCCTGTTCTTCCTTCACTAGGGAATCTCCCCAAGCCTGCCCTTCCAAAAGCACCCTTTGCTTCAGAGCTCCCCTAGACCCCATTCGTTCACCCCACCTATGCAATCAAAATCCCCACGGCTGAGCTCTGCCTTATCTTGACTAGCTCTTGTAGCATTGCAACCTGTGCAATTATCGACAGTTAACCATGAGTCACCAGCGATAGCAATCTTCCTTTTCTTTCTCCTTTTCCACTTCCATAATCTGCCTTGGAAAACGTGCTCCTGTAAACAAACCTATAAATGACAGAATGTTCAGAAAGAGTTAGCAAGATATTGGAGGTAGACGTGAGTGAGGAATTTAACCTGGACTTGTCCCTTACATTTTATTGTACAGTTTTCTCTTCTTAGAAGTAAGGTCTGTTCTGGGAACATACATGAAGGACCAGTTCCGTTTCTTCAACAAGGAAACTTCTCTGAAGACATTTTAAAGGCCCCTGCACAAATGATTTTCAACAAAATGACATACTCCTTAAAGCCGTAGGTAAAGGGAAGTAGCTTTCTCCTGACTCCTCCCCTGGTGGAAGGAAGTGAGGAAGGTTCAGCTGCTATTATGTCCACTTTGGCTGCATAGTTCTAGTCTTTTACCCTGACCAGAGACAAACGTGACAAAAGCAGCAGACAGACAGGGCCTATTTCAAGTCAACTCAAGGACCTCACCTCATCATTGCCCCTTCTTCCTGACAGTGAAGGAGACACCAGAGAAGGTGGTAGGAGGGGTGTTCTTGTGGAGGAGACAGGAACACCACATACAGCTACAAGAGTCTGCAAAAAAAAAACCTCTATCCCCTATCCCTTACTTATTCCTATCTCCCCTCTCACTCCTTCCCCAAGGAAGCTTACTTGCTTTTGATAAATTAAAAGAAAAAAAATGAGAGCAACCCCTGGCATTCAGAAACCAGTAGTACTCAGAGCTAGGCTGCAAAATGCTTCTCTTAAACTATGTCACAGAATACCAGTCTGGACAAGTTTACTCTCAGACCACAATAAAACGAGACAAAACAAGGCCCCTTTTAAATTCTGTTGAAGATCAGAAAAGAAGGTCACTGTGCAACCCACAAAATACCAAACATCCCTCTCTCTTGCTGAATGAATGACTGCTATTCTTTATCCAATCACAGAAACGCCTCTGCTTTCTGACAACATCTAATTCAGAGCAAATCTTTGCTTTCTTAGACTCTCCCCCAAATCACCCAATCAAAACCCAAATCATATGATAGGTTCCTCCTAACACCCTCTTACTGAGACACCCCATGGCTTCCCATGGTGTGTACCCTCCCTTCCCAGAATAAGTAATAAAGCCAACTCATTAACTGCACATGTGCTCCTGGTGGTCTCTGGGGCACTGACCTCTGTTTGAAGGCAGAGGCATTTAGTGTCCATTCGTATAAGAATTCAGAAAATTTTTATTGAGCATCTTCTGTGTACCAGGCTCCCACCTAAGTACTAACAATTTAATAGTGAACAAAACGAACAAAAGCCTCTGCTTTCACGGAGTTTAAATTTTTGTAGGGAAGGCAGATACTAAACAACATGAGTAAATAAATACTCAGTATTTTGCATAGTGATAATAACAAGAAAAATAAATAAAGCAGAGAT